TCCTCTGATGCTGCTTGGCCTGCTGTGTTCATCCAGCTCTACACCTTGTTATCTCAGATTCTCCAGCATTGGCAGTTCCTACTATCTCTGCCTCTGATTGGTCTGGCAGCATCGATAACCTGGCCATGGGTTGGAAACGATCATTTGTACGGACAATTGTGGGTGTTTTTTTCACTGTCAGCAGGGCAGGCTGTTCCAAAATCCACAGGAAACTCCTGCCCGCTGTATGTTTTATAGAGGGCAGGGGCAGATGGTGGCACAGTGAAGGAAATCTGCCATTTTTACCTGGTCTGGCCTACATGCGACTCCAGCAACGCATTGACTCTTAACTGCCCACTCAGATCAAGGGCAGTTATGGATGGGCGATAAATGTTGGTCTTGCCAGAAGTGCCCACATCTCATGGAAGAATAGGACAAATGAGTAGATTGGGCGTCAGTTGCTTATAGGTTGGTACGGATTTAGGAGGAGAGTGCAAAGCTGAAGTTCTCAACAGACCAGCGTTGACAGCCAGTTGGCTAATTTTTCCGTGATAATATATTGTCTTGTTTCAGCAACTGCTCCGCCCAGGACTGTAAGAAACTACAGAGATTTGTGAATACAGCCCAGCCCATCATCCAAACCAACCTCCCATCCACTGTCTCCATCTACACTGCCCACTGCCTCAAAAAGGCAGCCAACATAATCAAAGACCCCCACCCACCTACGTTATAATCTCTTCCAACCTCTTCTATTGAACAGAAGATACAAAAGCTTAAACACATACCAACAGATTCAAGAATAGCTTCTTCCTCAATATTATCAGGCTTCTGAATGGACCTGTCAAATTTTAGATTTAATGTTGATCTCACTCTTCGTGCACCTTCTCTACAGCCATAATTTTATATTCTTCACTCTGTTCTCTTCCCCTAATGCACTTTGTATGGTATGATCTGCCTGTACTGCACGCAAAACAAAACTTTTCATTGTGCCTAGGAGCATGTGACAATAATAAATCAAATCAAATTTCAAAAGAAAAGCCATGATGTGCAAGCTATTAGTGTTATCATGTCAGTGGGACACTGAAAAACCAAGTGAAGCAGTGCATGTACCTGCAAATTCATAAACAGCACATTTTTCATCTTATTAATAGGTGTTAATCACAGTCACTCTTGCAGACCTCCTAGCAACCACACAGCCACTTACACAGAAGCATCGTTTGTGCCCTCTGACTCTGTCATTACTACTGTCTGTCAGGAAGTGGTAACTGCTGGAAAACAGGAAGGATAGTGCTGACTTAATATCAATAAACCTGTCCAACTCACTGTCCTGAGTAAGATATGGTAGTACATGCTCTGGAGCTGGAAATTTCATTTGCAAGGCTTATGTCATTTATGTATTTATTTGTCCAATTTTCACACAGTCGATGATCCAAGTAAGCGCCAATGAAAGGACCTTCAATTTCCTCTAGGTAGAATTTTACACAAGGTTATGTATCAGGACAGTGTGTTTTTAAGCACTCGAGGACAGTCAGTTACTGTAGCTGCTGTTCATTCCATACACAAATAAAGGTCAAGCATAGGCCACTCGGCCCTTCAAACATGCTCAGCCATTCAGTATGATTGTGTCTGGATTTTAACCTCAACTCTACATTCCCACATATCTGCAATAATCTTTCATCCTCTTGGTAATCAACATTTTTCTCTCCTTCCCCTTTTGACACATGGATTTCTGTGACTATATCCAAGCTTTGCCTGGGTTTTACCCAAACTCCCTTTCCCATTTACCTTTGGATGAGCAAGTATGGCATCCCGCAACTCAGCCGACATAAGGACAGAAAGAAAGTTGATGGAAACGGAATGAATATCATTGCCATTTTTGTTTCTTTTCTCCCTCAAATCTACCGTTGCTAAACATTTACAATCCGGTGATTTGTAGGAATCTAAAACAAACTGGCAATGGAGGACTGTGTGATAATTCCAGCTGTTTATTCAGTAGTTGTAATAAAAAGATAGATGAACGTGAACTGTTATTTTCCAAGATAGTTAATACATTGCATGTGCATCATTGATGAATGAATCATATGTAAGTAAATCTGGCATTCAATTGTTCTTTTAGTTTTCCCAGAAATCTCAAACGTTGGTTCTATTTTTGTTTTAATATCTTGCAATTGTTTCTGTTTCCTTCTTTCGGGGAAACAATTTTCTCTAGGTACTCATACCGAATATTTCAAAGCACATTGCTCCCCACTCCAATCCAGCGGGGGCGTCAGCTGGACAGACTCCAGCCCACGGCTTTCAATCAGGCTCAGAAATGGAACGCACAAGGCAATTGGCCGGTTACATCGAAACCTGACTTGGTAATGCCGCTTTCAAAGGATTCTGGGATTGGAGCTGATGAGTCCTCAATCAGCACAAGCCAAAGCGTCCCCTTGGATACAAACCAAATCTCTAATGGACCATTCAGTCAACAACATGCGCCTGAGTTACAAGAAACCAGCTTGCCGACAACGAAGTTGACAGAAAGTGCAAATTACTCTCTTCGGTGGAATGGTTGCTCATCATCTGTTTCTATTCGAGATGCACAGACGCACTTGCACAAACTTCAGAAGCCTGGTTTAACGACAGAGTTGTCTTTCCCAGTGGATGGAGTTCCACCGATCACTCATACTGATGTAGATCCAACAAATTTACACTCACTAAACTGTAGGCCATCAACAGCATCTCCTAATGACATAGTGTGTTTTTTACATTCCTCCTGTCACCATGGTTTACAGACACAGACAGTGGAAAGTGAAAGCTTGGTGCCAGGTAACATAAAACCAGAGCGTGGCAAACTCTCTGCAGAAGTGTTTCCAGACACTTGGATTCCAACAAACTCATTGGAGGAGAGTTCTTTGGAAATGACTCCATTGTGACCACGCGTTGACCATCTAAAGTGCCTTTATTTTAAATTTTTGCACAGTTTCAGTCTTTCTTATAAAATTTTATATTTAATATTAGATCATCTTTTCATGAGCGCTAAATAAGAGAATATGTATTTTATAATTTGCACATGTGGAATATAGAGAAAAGTTGTGCGAAATTTAATATATAACTGTCTGAAATAATGCTGTTACCAAAATGCAGCTTGCATTTGCCAAGGTGACTGACCAGTTCTGTTTTTCCAGTTAAATGCTGTGCCTAAACAAACATCTGCCTCCCATTCCATCTTCCTCTTCCCCTCCAAGAGGAAGAGCCCCGCAGCTGAAGATTGAGACAGCTCTGAGGTAGAGGGCATAGGTTAAAGGTGAGAAAGATTTAAAACGGACCTAAGGGGCAACTTTTTCACACAGATGGTGGTGTGTGTATGGAATGAGCTGCCAGAGGAGGTTGTAGAGGCTGATACAACATTTAAAAGGCATCTGGATGACTATATGAATAGGAAGGGTTTAGAGAGATATGGGCCAAATGCTGCTAAATGGGACTAGATTAAGTTAGGATATCTGGTCAACATGGACGATTTGGACCAAAGGGTCTGTTTCCATGCTGTACATCCCTATGTCTCTATGACATTTTGATTATTTTTCTTTGCATTGTTTATGCATCAAGGATCAAAGGAAAGCAGTCCACTATGTTAGTAGTATCACAAACCAAGCAGAAAATGTCACTATATTGTGAAGTCTGAAACCTATCAGGCTCCCCCTCCCCCGATCCAACAATACCCATTATGTATGGTATAATTGTAATATATACACTAATCCCTTAACACTGTTTGCTGATGAGATCCTGTGGTGGTATAAGTGCGTGAAAGTGTGTGTGTGTCTGTGCGTGTGTCTGTATGTGTATGTGTGTATGTATGTGTGTGTGCGTGTGTTGAATTTCCTTTCTCTGTCCAAATTTGTAATAGAAACAGCTATTTGCAAGCTTCTCACACGTAACTGCACCTATCTCCACCCCGCCCCTTGCTCCCACGGGTGCAGCAGTGCCAAGTCTTCCGAAGATGCTGGAATGTCAGCATAAGGAGCTCAAGCAGCAACAGGAGTAGGTCACTCACCCCTTCTGCTGCCCTATGAGATCACGGATGATCTGCATTCACCTGCCTTGTCTGATTAATACTTTTCCTATAGCCTAATGACCTTGGCTAACCAAAAGCTATCAATCTCTAACTTGAAATGGGTAATGAACCTGGAGTCTGTCCTGCGTGAAAGTGAGTTCCATACTTCTACCATTTCTGGTGTAAGAAATTGGTTCCTATTTTCTCTCCTGAATGGTCTGGCTCTCATTTTAAGGAGGTACCCCTTGCTCTAGACCTGTGGGAAAAGTTCCTCTGTCAGCACCATTCACACAGCGGCCTTTCCAATTCAGATATGGGTGTAGAAACTAATGATGGAAAAATCAACACACAAAGAGTATTATCTTGAAGTAGAAATAGAAATTTATTGTTATGTGTACTTTTGCATGAAAAATACAGTGGAAAGTTTTACAAGTCACCCTACCACAGCGCCTATATTAATGACAGGAGTCCTGCATGATAATAAAACAAAAGTACATTTAAGACAGCATTCATCACAGTTCAGTTAATGGCTTTATGCTGAGGAATCTTACTAAATCCATAAGTTTAGCTCTCATCAGTAAAGTCGCCCTAGTCCCAGAGGACCACAGTGCTGCTCTCTAATGAGAGACAGAGAGAAAGAGACAGAGAGACAACTGGTGATGAGTTTAACTTGAGGGTAACCGTGCCTCAGGTGAGGGTGAGATTGAGAAGCCGAGATCTTTGTGGTAACTTCAATTGACTCCATAGCTCCCATAATCTGCCAGGCACTAATCCAGCTTCACCGGAACACCACATTTGGTCTTGATACACACAAAACCAAGGGAAATTGAAATGTGTAGCAGAGAACAGGCCATTCTGCCCACTGATTCATGCTGGTGATCTTCAGCCCCTTGATATCTAACCCTATCAGCCAAACTGGTTGCTTCCTATCCCTCCTACCTTCATCCAGCTTTCCCAGAAATGCTGCCGTTGTTGAATTTTCTCTCTGGAGAAGGAACTATCTTTATTCTAACAAAAAGATCAATATGAAGGATCCTCTGCCTTAATTGCCTGGGTCAGTGCTTGCTTTTGATTGGGGAGGGTTGCATGCACAGAGGACAGAGATCACGGGATGAAAAGGGAATTGGAGTGGGAGAATTCCCAACCTATTGGTAATGATTTCCAGAAGAGAGGACTGGTGGGTTTCAACTGGATGTGAGAATGTAAGAAACAGGTGAAAATTTAAAAGGTAAAGGACTTACTTTCTACCAACTGAAAGACTTGCTGTGCCTCGATAACTGGACTGTGTTTTGAAATTTCTTTCTTTTACCACATTAACCACCGCCTGCAAAACAGAAAGTTGCATTTATCATGATTGTTTTGAAGACCAATGGCAGTAGGATTAATGGAAAACAGAAAATTGCTGTCTAATTAAAGGCGGGAGACGCAATAAAACAACATTGATATGAGTTTTAAATGATGATATGTGAGACAGATGAAAGATGTAAGTGCGATGCTGCTTATATTTCACTGATCATTTCATACCATCCATTTACAGTGCAAGCTAGATTTAAGATATTGTATTATAAAATTGCATGTAAATTTTATTTGAACACTAAGTGTTATGGTGGGGTTGTAATTTAATATTGCCTTTTTTTCACCCTCGAGGTGTCATTGACTCCCAAGAAACAGGAAAAAGTATTTTGATTACAGGTGGTGATGGTTTAAACTATTTATTGAATAAACCCTAAATAAGGCAAGAGGTTGTGCATAATAGTGGCAATGTATTTCAGATGCTGAATGCTTCATAAATGCTAAGATTGTTGGGAGTCAGGGCTTGTGCTGCAGCTAATAGTTCAAGGAAAATTAATAGTTCTAGGAACCACAACTAAAGAAATAAATAGTGTATTCAGTTACTATATCCATAAGGTGATTTCGTACTGTAAAGGTTGCTGTGTGTTCCATAGCAACACTATTTTATTGGTACCCAAACATTGCACTGGCCATCAAAATGGGGAATCAGTGATAATTGGACTTGTAATCCAGAGTCCCTATCTAATGGGTAGACAAGCAGGAGGCTGGAAGAACACAGCAAGCCAGGCAACATCTAGAGGAAAGGAGCAGTCCTGAAGAAAGGTAATACCCGAAACGTTGACTGCTCCTTCCTTCCAGATGCTGTTTGGCTTGCTGTGTTCTTCCAGCCTCCTGTTTGTCTACCTTGGATTGCAGCATTTGCAGTTCTTTTGTCCCTATCTAATGGGTTTGAATCAAATGGCAGATGGTGAAATTAGAATTCAATGAAGTTAAAAGTTAGTCTAATGATGACTACCATTGTTGTAAAAACCCAATAAAAACTGAAAGAACTGCGGATGCTGTAAATCAGGAACAAAAACAAGTTGCTGGAAAAGCTCAGCAGGTCTGGCAGCATCTGTGACGAAAAAATCAGAGTTAACGTTTCAGGTCCAGTGACCCTTCCTCAGAACTGGACCCAAAACATTAATTCTGATCTTTCCATCACAGATGCTGCCAGACCTGCTGAGCTTTTCCAGCAACTTCTGTTTTTGTTGTCGTTGTTGTCGTAAAAACCCATCTGGTTCTTCACTAATGTCCTTTAAAGTTGAAAACTACTATCCTTGCCAGGTCTGACCTACATGTGACTCCAGATCCACACCAATTAATTTTTAACTGCTCTCTGAAATGGCCTAGCAAGCCAAGTTAAGGATAGGCAATAAATGATGCTCCAGCCAGTGACACGGGTGAACACATGAATAAAAATTTCTAAGAAGAACGATCAAGGCTTTAATATGTCGTCTGATTTTTAGCCAATTCATCATCTTATTTGAAAGCAGTGATAAATAAACTTGTTACAGCTGACAACAGATTTTCAGCAGCAGCGAAACAAATTCCAGATGTAGGGTGAATTTCTGTGCCTTTCCTGAGCTAGCAGGCGACAGGGTGTCTGTAATATTGTGGGAGGGCAGGGGACTTTTCACCTCCCCTGGGATTTCAGCAGCAGTGAGGGAGGTGTCTGATAGCCTACCTCCCTCCCTACCCCTCACCCCAATCGCTCTAATTAAGGCCCTTACGCAGCCTCCTTGTACCACTGCTGTTAATTTACATAGAGATGGGGTTGGAGGGACAGGCCACACACCAGTAACTTGGTAGTTAGCTCTTCTGGAAGCCATGAGGTCTCTGTGCTGTAAGTGAATTTGCAATATATTGAACCATGTAGTCCCATTCCCTATAGTTCAATCCCCCTTTCCACAACCTCCCAGTGCGTAGAAGCTTCTCATGCCTTCTGTTCTAAATCTTGTGACTGTTTTGTTCTAAGCCCCACAAATTTGGAAATAGTCTGCCTTCATCTACCCTGTTCCCTCCTGTCATCATTGTGAACACTTACAATGCATTAACATGCGTTGTTCCAATGAGGACAACCCTAAACATTCAAGTTTCCTCGCAGCGGGTATTTTATTTAACAAGGTAGAATACCAGTTTGGTCTGTGCCTCCTCTGGAGAACATTTGAGAGTTGTTGAAAAATGGCTTACCCTGTGATGTTACCATAGGACGGGGTTAAGAGGTAGATCCCAAATCTATTACAGCCAGATTGAGAAGGCTGCTAGCATTATTCAGAGTAACATGCAACTCAGGACTCATGATGGAGGCAGCAAAACAAAGATAGACTCTCTTTCAGTTACGTCTTCTTATTCATTATTCTTAAACTGTTCAAAATGGTGCTGGATAATGACGACAGTTGAAGCTTTTCACTGTATTTTACTGTATTATTCAGTGTAAAATGCAAGTGACAATAAATCCTTCAAGTCAATTTATTTAGTCAACTTAACGAGGCAGCTACTTCTTCCCCTCTCTAATGCCTCGATGTATTTTATAGTGTGGACCACAGTTCTGGAGTCTTACAGTGTACAGTTTTATACCACTAAAATAGAAAATTTATTGCCAAACTTACTATTACTCCCATTGTATCTCCAACGAAGACTTTAATTATAATTTAGAAATGCAGACTAAATGAATAAATGTCGACACTTCAGGTTTAATTGCCTCAAACATCAAGTTATTGAAGACAGATTTTGCTTCTCAATGTTAAAAGTAAGACTTATTGCATTGACAGCAACCATGGCTGATTCTTGTCCAGAGCCTTGACTCCTTACCTCTCCTGCCTTTCTCCTGCAATGTTAAGGATGTAAAATAATCATGGGTTGGTCCCATTTCCCTCATTCCTCCCAATCTTGGTGTAGCCTTGGCTTTATTTCACTCTTCCTCTGCTTAAAAAAAATCCTCTGTGCGTAACGTGTGTTGGTGGTAATCATGTTGTTTAATTCCAGTGACTCTTATCATTAACATGCCTGACATTTTCCATCTTTGACAGCTGCCTTGACATTTTGCTTTTTAGCTTACGCTTCGTTAAAATTCTTGTTCTGTCAAACCACTTAGCTGTTAACTCGGAACTACAGCTCTAAATTGCCTGTTGAGGTGGCTTTTATATTGACGAAAGACTTATAACTCTTTTAGCTGCCTGTATCTGTCACGGAGAGAGAATTGGCAGTCGAGCAACATCTGCAAACAAGAAGATAATAGTGTGAATTTTTCCTCTTGATGTTGAGTGATTGTAAAATTTAAAGCCAAACCAATGCTCTCCTCCTTTGCAGAAGTGGAAATTCCACATGTTTGAATTCCAGGCATTTCCTTTCATCACAGACCATGGCACTGTTAGTGGTATGTTACAATGGCACTCTTTTGGACTCACTGAAGGAAGCTATCTAACGGGGCATTGAGAAAGGATTTGGATGATCATTTACATTGGAACAGTGTGCAGGAGAAAAGGAAGAAGATTAACCAAGTCAAAAAGCTCAGAGACAGTGCAGACACAATGGGCTGAATGGCCTCTTTCCACACTTTATCAATTCCGAGCTTCTGGTGATAGATATCAGGTAGTAGAGTGTATTTATGTATCTTCATCTGGGTCTTGATGGCAGTGTCAAGTTGTGGATCCATTAATGCAAACATTTTTAAGGCATGTTTGCCTAATCTAGTGTCTTCAAAATTGAAAAACAACTGTAGAATTTAAACAGGTTAATCAAAAAAAGTTTAAGCCCAATATATCCATTATAAAAACTTGTATTTGTATCGCATTTTTAACAAGCAAATACCCCATATTGAATGTATTAGTGGATTAAGACATCCAGTACTGGAAACTACACCCGAGCTTCAGTTATCAGCTAGATCATACAAACTTGTACGAATTAGGAGCAGAAGTAGACCATTCCACCCTTTAAGTCTATGCTGCTATTCAATAAAATCCTGATTCATTTGTGTTTTGAATTCCACATTCCCATCTACCCCCAATAATCTTTGCCTGCCCTGCCTAACAAGAATCTACCTACCTCCCCTGCCTCAAAATTATTCAAAGATCCTACTCCACAGCATTCTGAGGCAGAGAGTTCTAGAGTTCAACAATACTCTAATCTTCTTGTCTCTGCCCCTAAAAGTGTGACCCTTATTTTTTAAATGATCCCCCTTAGTTCTGGACTCATCCACGTGAGGAAACATCCTTTTCACATCTACCTTAGTAAGAGGTTCGCATTTTCCTACATTTGTCTCAATTTTCCAGATTTTTCCCACTAACTCAACTGATGTTTATACATTGTCAACCTCCTTGTGTCTTCATGACATACTTTAAGACTCATCTTTGCATCATGTGAAAATTGAGCTGTCATGCCTTTGTTCCCTCTACATATGTCATGGTTATCAATTCTAAAAATTGAAGACCCCTGCAGGACTCAACGCATCAGAACTTGCCAACTAGAAGAACATCCATATATATATAATCTCTGTTTTCTGCCAGCCAGTCAATCTTCTATCCATGCTAATATGTTGCCCCGCTATACCTTGATCTTTTACTTTGCCCAATAACCTTTTTATGTCACATATCACCCAATCCTTCTGGAAATCCAAGTACAGAATATCTGCTGGCTCCCTTCATTCGCATCACATTTCACTGCTTCAAAGAACTCCAGTGAATTAGTTAAGCATTATTTCCCCCTCACAAAACCAGGCTTATGCTTCCTGAATGTCTTGAACTTTGCATGTACCCAGCTATGACTTTATTAAAAATTGATTCTATTACCTTCTGAATGACTGACATCAAGCAGATGACCTATAGTTTCTTGGTTTCTGCCTCCTTCCATTCTTGAATAGAGGTGTAGTATCTGCTGCTTTCAGTCTGATGGAACCTTTCCAAAAATCTAACAAATAT